TCATTTAAGGCTGATTAATCCCTTTTGATAAATCGCTGAATAATCAAGATCCAAATTTTTTTTCAGTAAGCACTAATTAAAGATACCGCCAAACAGTAAGAAACACATTAAATGGGCTATTCTTTCAAAAACCAGATTAAAGAAAAAAGCATCATCAAGAGAACATGATAAACCGTATAAAGGCAAACCCGTATGGAACCGCGAAACAAGGCAGGTCACAAGGAAAATTGTGACTTATCTTGTATGTTTGAGGTTTTATCCTTGAACATTTCTTTCATATAAATTATTTTCACTGAACTCTCCTTCGCTTAAAGTTTGATCAAAGGACTCATTCCCTTATCAATATTGTGTTTTTAACAAGCTGCTTGACTTTTCTCATCACCAGCACTGACATTGAAGGAAGGAGAATATATTTAAAAAATTGTGACGAAAATTGCTGCCGACTCCTAATACGAAATGATCATGGTGACTCAGGTGGTTTAGTAATTTGTCTGTTTTCGCCACGATATGAAAGGATAATTATGGAACAGTTATTTCTATTATTTGGCATAATTAACCATAACAACAGGATATCAAACCATATCAACAACTAAATTTTTTTTTGTGATATCGATAAATGTTTCCATTAGCAAGCTGATTAGCAGAGTTCCTCGCAATTAGATATCAGTATCACCACTTTCTTATCATTCTTATCATGAATCAGTTCGACGCAGCAATGAAGTTGGCACACCAATTAGCTTCTTTTTTATAATCGATGTTCAGTTTTAAACGTAGACCTCACCAGTTTGTAGTAGCTCAGTTCTCTTTTAGTTTTCGCTTAGAGTATGTTTGAAAACGGTTTTTTTTAATTTTTCTGTCGTTCTAAAAATTTGTTTGAGTTTGTTGTAAGGCGAATTTCCCGTTTGGAAAAGAGTTCCTTCATTTTAAACTTAGCCTAATTATCACTAGTAATATTCAGTCACTTCTTAAATGGAAGTCTTCTCCAGCATGCATTGCCGTCCTGAAGGCTGAAGGCCCCAAAAGTTTTCGTCTGAGCGATAACACCTCATCTGGTTTATCTCAAATTGTCAAGGAAAATTTGCTTCTTTGAATTGTTTAAGAAAAATTTAAACACATTTAAACAAAATTGTTAGTTTTATTAGTAATTTTGCCTTGTTTGTATGAACATTGGGACGAGTAGGAATCCACCATCGATCAAGTACGACCAGACCCAAACTAGGTACGAGTTGCCTGAATTTAAGTGTAAATCGACCAGGTACGAAATGACCGTGTGTGCGAAACGACTGGACGACGTATCGGATTGTTAAGTTAGTATCTCGGGAATTTTAACGGTTCTTTTTCACAAGATTGTTACGTTACTATCTCGTGCACTTAGAGGAAATCCTAAGGTCATGTGATAGTTTGAGAAAAATCCAAAGGTTTGTGAGCTGCAACTTTTCTCCTCGAACTCCTTAGAGGATCTTTTCAGGAAAAGCAAGATCACGGGAACTCCGGCAGAAACTACGGAAATGTAATCAGTTGTGCATCGCTCCCTATGCGATCCATTTGTACCTTCTCGTTGTCGCAGAAGAAAGGGTTAAATTCTGAGCCGATTATCAACGCTGGTTCGTTTTCACTGATAACAATAAAGAAGCAATTTAGGTGTTTAATCACTTAAATGTTTCACGATAATAGTTAAGAAGGTCCAACATAGGTTTGGTGGGATGCAGGATTAGGCTTAAAATCGAGGCGGGATGTAGGATAGGAAGGCGAGATTGGGATATGCTCCGTTTCGAAGGTGGGATAGGAGATAGGACTGGTACAGACGATCATAAATTAGCTCAAGTTACGAGTCACATGACCTCAGAGACATAAGGAGATTTTTATTTTCTTTAGAAACGGGCTTAATTAATTCTCCCGTGTAAATTGGGATTGGCAGGCCTGAATGGCTGCGTAGTACGTCCAAGTACAAGTGATTACACGACAACAGTATTTGAAGTTTCCTTGCCTTCGATATAATTTTGCTTTCATGAGTATGTCTGAGTGAACACCCATTTCTGTCTGACATAATTGGTGGTTCTTTGAAGATTTTTCTCAGCAATTCTTATTGCTGTACTAAATGCTCTTGCTGATAAGGATTCTTTAAGGTTTAGAACTGTTGGACAGTATTGTGTTGTTCCAAAGAGCAAGATTCAAAAGTTTGTTTTTCCCTGTTGGAGGAGGGCCCGTTTACGTCCTTCAAATTTCACTTCTGGGAGCGGATTGTCAATAAAGTCTCTCGGTAGTCTTTCTCGGCCACGTATGTTTTGAACTTTGTCTAATATCCAATTCTATTCCAATTTTTCTTTTGAAGAATTAGTCCTGGGGAGTCGTAACGCTTCACCTTTAACGAAGTCTCTTTTTGCTCCTAGTGATAGGCTCGTCGTATAGAGTGCGTACTGGAATTTTCCTGGTGGTTTGAAGCGTCGAAATGTCGAAACTGACTCGCTGATTAATCTTTCACCCTTACATATCGTGGTGTCTAAGAAATTAGCTTCTGAAAAAGATATCTCAGCAGTAAATTTGACTGCTAGGCGGTTTTAGTCGCTTGTTCAATGAACTAGTTGACGACATATCTTTTGGAGTACAAGAGAGATATCATGTGGTCGATGTAGCGTTTCCAAACAGGCGCCTTTATCTAGGATTTGCCTTTTGATTTAGCTTAGAAGATATTTGCAAAAGCTACTGCCATTTTTGTGCTTATGGCAGTTCTGTGCGTTTGCAAGTTATTTTTTTTTCGTTGAATTGGGATAAGATTTCCCGCAGAAAGGTAACTGTTATAGCGCTCTTTTGTATTACCAAGCCAAGAAAAAGCTAGAACTAGACATGACAAACCTATAAAAAACGAAAGGGCTTCATTGCGTTACTCCTTGGTGATTTCTAGCTATCGTTACTCTCAAGCAAGGTCGAACGCAAGGTTTAAATGAAGTAAGTATACCGCAACGAACATCAATTAAAGTCTTTTGCTGAAGCATTCTACCGCGAAAACTGAAGTTCAATGCTCTCACCCGACTCGCATTTTTTAAATTCCACTTCAACACAAAACCAAGAAGTTGTTTATTTAGTTTTTCCTTTTTATGATTTTATTAAAACGTAAAAAAATAAATCGGCCAATATCCAGCCATCCTGCTCGACCTTACGCTTGGTCAATAATGCACTGATGCTTAGGGTTAGACCTCTCGAAAGCGTTGCATAACCAGCACTTACACTTCTCAATTAGTATAACATTATTCTGTTGTGGCAAGCATGGCACATGGTGTAATATAGGTCAACAATGTTTCTCAGACTATAATTAGGTAATGGACAAATAAAGTCGCTTGCAAAGGATTCAACCGCGAAAATAGAGGTTCAAATCCTCTCGTTCAATTTGCATTTTTTTAACTCTTCTTCAACAACTAAGCTCAAATTTTTTAATGCGGTATTTGCCTATTAGATTTGGTTTCAATAATATATAACACAAAGGAGTTGTTCATTTCTCACACGAAGTTTCGTATTATTCGGTTGAAAGACATTTCATCCCTAATGTTTATATGAAATGGAATACAATGATCAAGCGTAACGCTAGACTCAAAAGCTTCCGTTACAGGTTTGATGGACGAAAATAGTACCGGCAGAATAAATAAGAATTAACCTCATTAATCCCAAACACAATAGCAGGTGTTAAACCCCAACCAAATTCAAGCCTCATATTAATACAATGTTTAGCAGACATATTGCTTTAGTTTCAGTAACTTTGCTTTAACGTTCCTCTAACTGATCAAACGACATCTTACCAACAGACAAACCTGTAAAAAAAATGAAAACAAACAACCGAATGTCAATGCAAGGAATAGAACTAGCTATTTTAAAGTCACTAATCTCAACATCGAGGAGTATAAATGAGGCCGACCAAAATACCATCAAGGAACCTGACAAAGGTTTTGGTATAAAAGTCGATGGAATAGCAACTCATCCAAGGGGAGTGATGATATTCCAAGTTGCTTAACACCATAGAAAGTGAAATAAGCTTCTTAGGAGAGGGATATCTAGCTAGCGTGCAGATTTTTACTCAATGTTTTAAGCTTTCATATAAGCAATGGAAAAAAATTTTACCCTGTTGTCAGAAGTCATGGTAATCTTTTCCATACAAAGAGTAAACGATGGTGAATCATCACCCAGACAGCTGGATTTTTTCCCCAACTAACACATGCTCTCATAGGTTATTTTTAGGGTCGCATGACATGTAAAAATCTGTTATCGGTTACAAGTCCCAGAGCGTGCAGCATTGCCTAGTCAACAATGTCATAGGGTTGCAGTGCACTTTAACCAGCGATTGGTGACCGACTACCGCCCTTGAACTTGAACAGAGCGTGACTGACGTGAAGTGAGGTGTCACATTTTTTTGCACTGCAGTATTTTGCGCTCCTATGTACTTACGTGTAATCAATAAATACATCATCGATTTTTTTTTCACATTATATCTTCTTATTCCTTCGTGGTGCTACATAAGGAACAAGTGGCTACGGGGGA